CAGACATGCGGGAAGCCTCACACTCAGCACTACTGCTTCTCCCGCCTCGACGACGCATGGCGCGCAAAGTTTGGTGACGAGGCCGAGCGCCCCCGCTGGGCAGAGCTGCTTAGGTCTGGAGTTGCTATCTTTGACCTAGACTATGATGCTATCCTTGCTGCTATGTATGCTTTGTCTATTAGTGCTGAGGGTGACTGTTACTTGTGTGTGCCGCCTGAGCCAGGTATAGAGGCTGCTGCTCTAGGTGCTAGTGAGTCTGCTCTCCTTGGTACTACGCCTGCTGAGGCCTTGCACACCTTTAGACTTGACTCAGGTGCTTCACGCCGTTTCTTTCGCGACAGCACCACCCTCACTCCTCTCTCTGCACCTGTACAGGTCAGACTAGCAGACCCCTCCGGGGGCCCAGTTCTTGCCCGTTCCTCCACTCTTCTCCCGTGTCCGGCGGTTCCGTCCGGCTCACTCTCAGCTCTTCACCTCCCCTCGTTCTCTACAAACTGAGTGAGTACCGCTGCCCTCCAGGACGCGATGGTCACTACCACCACTCCTGGGGGTCAGCGTGTGTCGATCTGCACGTGTACACGGACGGGCCGCCACCTGGCCACGTTCACTTGTCGGCCTTGGTCGAGTCTGTTCACACTGGCTACTGAGCCTCCTCAGGTAGCTGCGTCTGCCCAGGTGTCCGCGTCAGGTCCGGTAGCAACCCCTTGCTCGTGTCGCCTCCTGTCGCACCAGACTCTCCTGTGGCACCACCACCTTGGTCACCCCTCCCTACCACGCCTTCGTGGCATGCACTCCCGACTCCTTGTCTCTGGTCTTCCCAGGTCTCTTCCTCCCCTCCCGCCCTCGCCTGCCCTGCCCTGCCTTCCTTGCGTCGAGGGGCGGCAGCGCGCCGCTCCTCACTCCTCATTTCCCCCGACGACTGCTCCCCTGCAGACTCTCCACATGGACGTGTGGGGCCTAGCCCGCATCAGTGGACAAGGCCGCGAGCGCTACTAATTTCTTCTTTATTTTTATTTATTAAAATAATATTTTTCCCATCTACATATTGAATATGAGCATCTTCCAACGAAGTCAGAACGGTTCCAGAGTCTAATGCCGCGTGAGATTCAATTCCTGTTCCTACTATGGGTTTTTCAGACAACTACACGCGGTACACCATGGTCTTCCCCTTGCGCAGCAAGAGTGAGGTCCCTGATGTCTTGATCCCTTGGATCCGCGCAGTCCGACTCCAGCTCCGCGAGCGGTTCGGCTAGGACCTTCCTGTCCTGCGTCTGCACTCTGACAGAGGTGGTGAGTTCTCTTCCGACCTCTTGCGGGACTTTTGTCGTGGGGAGGGCATTCTCCAGTCGTTCACGCTTCCGGGCTCCCCTCAGCAAAATGGGATTGGTGAGCACCGCATTGGCTTAGTCATGGAGGTCGCTCGTACCTCCATGATCCATGCGGCTACTCCCCATTTTTTGTGGCCGTTTGTGGTCCGGTACGCTGCGCAACAGCTCAACCACTGGCCTCGTGTCTCCTTGCCGGAGACCTCGCCGACACTGCGTTGGACGGGGGAGGTTGGCGATGCATCGGTGTTGCGGGTCTAGGGCTCTCGTGCCTTTGTTCGTGATACCTCCGCGGTCAAGCTCTCCGCCCGCGCTATTCCCAGCGTCTTCCTTGGCTTTTCCCCTGACGCGCCTGGCTGGCAGTTTTACCATCCCACCTCGCGCCGTGTCTTCCCCTCTCAGGACGTCACGTTTGACGAGTCGGTTCCCTTTTACCGTCTCTTCCCAAACCCCTCTGCCCCTCCCCCACCCCCGCCGCTCTTCCTTGCTCCTGGTCCCCCTCCGGTAGACCCCCTCTTGTCAGAATCCCAGCCACTAACCACTGGGATAAAATGGCTTGTTAAGTAGCGGGTCAGTGCGCCCATAACCCCCCAGGACAACGAGTGTGTAACCCTTCCCTAGGATCAATCGGGGATCAAAACTGGACCTCTGACACCCCCCGCACTGGGATGCCCAAAGTGCACACACTGGGACTCGAACCCGAGACCTTCGCTCTGATACCATGTCAGAATCCCAGCCACTAATCACTGGGATAAAAAGGGCTTGTTAAGTAGCGGGTCAGTGCGCCCATAATCCCCCAGGACAACGAGCCTGTAACCCTTCACTAGGATCAATCAGGGATCACAAGTCGACCTCTGACACCTCCCCCCCCAGGGTCCTGCTCCCTCGGGTGTGTCTCAGGTAGACCCTCTCCCTGGTATTGTGCGTGTTGAGGTAGCTGTCGACTCAGGTGCTGCTCGAGGTGCTGCGTCTGGGGGTGCTGCGTCTGGAGGTGTGGAGCCTGGGGGTGCGGAGCCTGGGTGTGCGGAGCCTGAGGGTGCTGAGTCTGAGGGTGCCGGGTCTAGGGGTGCTGAGTCTGGGGGTGCTGAGCCTCGGGGTACTGCTTCTTCTGGAGGTCCTTCGGGTGCTTCGCCACAACTGTCTCCCCGGCCGGAGCCTCTCTCCCTGCAGCAGCTGTGCGAGTGGTTTACTCAGCGCACACGCCTTTGGAGTGGAGCTGCCGGAGCTGGAGACTCTACCGCTGGAGACACTGGAGCTGGAGGTGCTGGAGTTTCTGCTGGAGCTGGTGGTACTGGAGGTGTTGCAGCTGCTGAACCTGGAGATGCTCGTACCAGGGGTATTGGAGCTGCCGGGACTGGTGGTGTTGGGAGCGTTGGAGCTGGAGACCCTATGGAGCCTGGAGCTGCCAGTGATGGAGGCACTGGCGCTGGTGGAGCTGGAGCTGGAGGCACTGGAGCTGTTGGCGCTGGAGCTGGAGGCACTGGCGCGGGAGGCGCTGGAGCTGGAGGAGCTGGAGCTGTTGACCCTGGAGCTGGAGGTGCTAGAGCTGGGGGTGCTGGTGGTACTGGTGGTACTGGTGCTGGAGGCACTGCGCGGCCGCGACCGTACTTTGTTCCCCTGCTTCAGCAGGTTCTTGGTGTCCCCTCTTCTATTGGCCTTACTCCTCCCTTACTGTATCCACCGCCTGACCAGTCGCAGCCGCCGTTACAGCAAGCCTCCCCTCTGCATGCTCCTTCTCCTTACACTGAGCAGACCGACGGTCTTACCGAGCGTCGTGAGCCTGCGTCTCATCCTGCCTCCCCTGTTCGCACTGGTCGTCGCGTTCCTCATCCGCATCCTCCTCCTGTCCCCGGCACACACGCTATGGTACTTCGTCCCTCCTCTGTTCCATTGCGTGTTCCTCTGCCGCTTCCTTCTGAGTCCTCTCTTCTCGCCGTCCCTGACCCTGAGACACACGTGCACTGACCTGGGTGAACTGTGCAGCTAACTTGGCTTGCAGATCACCGGGGACAGAGCACGTCACACCATCACCCTGACTCAGTCACACATGGTGCACCAGGTCCTTCAGCACTTCGGCTTCTAGTTCTCCTCGCCACAGCCCACTCCTCTGTCTACCGGCCACTCGCTCTCAACTCCACCTTTGGATGAGTCCGTAGAGCCGAGTGGTCCGTACCCAGAGCTTGTGGGTTGCCTCATGTACCTGATGATGTGCACACGACCTGACCTTGCGTACCCTCTCAGCCTCCTGGCTCGCTACGTGGCTCCTGGCAGGCACTGAAAGGTGCAGTGGGATGCTGCGAAGAGGGTACTGCGTTACTTGTGCAGTACGTTGGGCCTGGGGCTCGTGCTTGGAGGACGGGGTCCAGTTGTCCTCACTGGTCACGTGGACGCTTCTTGGGTTGATGACTCAGCTACGCAGCTGTCATCACAGGGTTACACCTTCAGCCTTGGTTCCGGCTCTGTTTCCTGGCGGTCTACCCGCTCGTCTTCGGTTCTCAGCTCCAGTTGTGAGGCTGAGATCTACGCAGGTGCCATGGCTGCACAGTAGCTACGCTGGCTCACCTACCTGCTGACTGACTTGGGAGAGTAGCCTCGTTCACCTCCAGTGCTGTACGTAGACAACAAGGCCATGATTGCCTTGTGTCAGGAGCACAGACTGGAGCACAGAACAAAGCACATCGCTCTGCGATACTTCCTTGCTCGAGAGTTGCAGCAGCGTGGCCAGCTTCGTCTTGCGTACGTGGCCACTAGGGCCAACATGTTAGAATCCTAGCGTGACTTAGGAGCCATGGCTAGTGAGTGTCGAGAGGATTGAGTGTCGAGAGAATTGGAAAGGAGAATGAGAGCTTTACTATAGAAAGTTGGGATACAAATAGCAAACCCTAGATTGGGTTGTACTCACTACAGAGTACCCCACTGCAGGCTAAACAACAAATACATTCTGACACACCCCCATAGTCAAAGTGGGGTATAATCAGCAGAGCAAGCAGTCATAGAGCAGGTTCACAAGTACAAGCAAAGCTAGAGGCATTCACGAAGGGCAAGTGAGGAGGAGGCTGGACTGTAAGAGGAGAGTAGATAGGAGGCGATTGCTGATGCTGCAGACACTCGGGCAACAGGAGCGGCGCGCACTGTGGCTACCAGGTCCGTATCCCCGGACTACAGGAGTAACTGGCTCTGGGGCTAACTCTGAGCGGCAGGAGCAACGGAGCCACAGGCGACAGGCGCAGCAGGCTCTCTGAGCTACCAGAAGCAGAGCCCCGGACTACAGGTGCTGCGGACGACAAGACGGCAGCCTCTGCTCAACCTCCCCCAACTGTCCCACCCCCCTTACACACACCCCTTGCTGCACCCCTAGCTCCACTCCCACGTCAACCCCCTAGCACCAGTCCCTCGGCTCCCACACACCCACCCCCCTCAGCGGCAGCTGCAGCAGTGGGAGACGAAGGTGGAGGAGGAGGAGGGGACGGTTCACACACCCACCACCCCCATACTTGCCACCCCGCAGTTGCACCCACACCCGCCACCCCCATACCCTCCCCCCACTGCTGCACCTGCAGCAGGGGATGGAGGAGAAGGGGGGGGGCTGGTGCTGTAGATCTCCTCCCCCCCACTGCACCTGCAGCAGGGGGAGGTAGTAGAAGGGAGGGGGGGGGGGGGGGCGGGGGGTTGTGCATGGCGCGTGCAGAGGGCAGCAGGGCGCGCGACGCGCACAGGGCTGCAGGGCGCGCGGGGCGCACAGGGCAGCAGGGCAGCAGGGCGCACAGGGCTGCAGGGCAGCAGGGCGCGCGGGGCAAACAGGGCAGCAGGGCGCACAGGGCTGCAGGGCAGCAGGGCGCACAGGGCTGCAGGGCTGCAGGGCAGCAGGGCGCGCGGGGCGCGCAGGGCGCGCAGGGCAGCAGGACAGCAGGGCGCGCAGGGCGCGCAGGGCTGCAGGGCGCACGGGGCGCAGCAGGGCTGCAGGGCGCGCGGGGCGCGCAGGGCAGCAGCAAGGGCTGTAGCGGTTGCAGCAGGGAAGCAGGGCGCACAGGGCTGCAGGGCAGCAGGGCGCACAGGGCTGCAGGGCAGCAGGGCGCGCGGGGCGCGCAGGGCTGCAGGGCGCGCGGGGCGCACATGGCTGCAGGGCGCGCGGGGCGCACAGGGCAGCAGGGCAGCAGGGCGTACAGGGCTGCAGGGCAGCAGGGCGCGCGGGGCAAACAGGGCAGCAGGGCGCACAGGGCTGCAGGGCAGCAGGGCGCGTGGGGCGCGCAGGGCTGCAGTGCGCGCAGGGCGCGCAGGGCAGCAGGACAGCAGGGCGCGCAGGGCGCGCAGGGCTGCAGGGCGTGCAGGGCGCACAGGGCAGCAGGGCAGCAGGGCACGCGGGGCGCAGCAGGGCTGCAGGGCGCGCGGGGCGCGCAGGGCAGCAGCAAGGGCTGTAGCGGCAACAGCAAGGGCTGTAGCGGCAGCAGCAGGGCAGCACGGCGCACAGGGCTGCAGGGCAGCAGGGCGCACAGGGCTGCAGGGCAGCAGGGCATGCGGGGCGCGCAGGGCTGCAGGGCGCGCATGGCGCGCAGGGCAGCAGGACAGCAGGGCGAGAGGGGCAAACAGGGCAGCAGGGCGCACAGGGCTGCAGGGCAGCAGGGCGCACAGGGCTGCAGGGCAGCAGGGCGCGCGGGGCGCGCAGGGCAGCAGGACAGCAGGGTGCGCAGGGCGCGCAGGGCTGCAGGGCAGCACAGGGCTGCAGATCCCCTCCCCCCCACCGCTGCACCTGCAGCAGGGGGATGGAGGAGAAGTGGGGGGGGGGGGGGGGGCTGGGGGGGGCTGGTGCTGCAGATCCCCTCCTGCCTCCCCCTGAACCTCCAAGCTCCCCCCCCCCTCCCAACACAGGGTGCAGCAGGGAGAGAGAGAGGAGAAAAGGGCGGGGGGGGAGGGGGCTGATGCTGCAAATCCCCTCCCCCCACTGCTGCTGCAGATCCCCTCCCCCCCACTGCTGCACCCGCAGCAGGGGTGGAGGAGAAAGGGGGGGGGCGGGGGGGCTGGTGCTGCAGATCCCCTCCTGCCTCCCTCTGAACCTCCAAGCTCCCCCCCCTCTCCCAACACAAGGTGCGGCAGGGAGAGATAGAGGAGGAGGCGCGGCGGCAGCTGCTGCTGCTGAGGCACATCCGCCACCCCCTCACACCCTCTCCCCCCCGTCCCCATGGAGGAGGGGGAGGGGGGGGAGGGGGGCGGGGGCGGAGCTGCGCGTGCGACTGCAGGGCACGCGGGCGGGAAGTCATCACCCCTCTTGCCACAGCTAGGGGCGTCGAGGCCAGTGGGGCCGAGGGGCGCGGCTAGGTACGGGGCCGGTCGTTGGGCGCGGAACGGAGGCCGGGCGCGAGGCTACGTACGGGGCCGGGCGCTGGGCAAGGGACGGGGCCGGGCGCTGGGCAGGTACGTGGCCGGGCGCTGGGCAGGTACGGGGCCGGGCGCGGGCTAGGTACGGGGCCGGGCGCGGGCTAGATACTGGGCCGGGCGCTGGGCTAGGGACGAGGCCGGGCGACGGGCTAGGTACGGGCCGGTCGCGGGCTAAGTACGGGCCGGGCGCGGGCTAGGTACGGGCCGGGCGCTGGGCGAAGGACGGGGCCAGGCGCGGGCTTGGTACGGGCCGGGCGCGGGCTAGGGACGGGGCCAGGCGCGGGCAAGGTACGGGCCGGGCGCGGGCTAGGTACGGGGCCGGGCGTTGGGCGCGGAACGGAGGCCGGGCGCGAGGCTAGGTACGGGCCGATCGCGGGCTAGGTACGGGCCGATCGCGGGCTAATTACGTGCCGATCGCGGGCTAGGTATGGGCCGGGCACGGGCGACGGAATCGACGGGGCCAGCGGGGCCGAGGGGCCGAGCTAGGGGCGACGGGGCCAAGGGGCCGAGCCTAGGGGCTAGGGGCGACGCCAAGGGGCGACGGGCTGGGGCCTAGGCTAGCAGGGCATTAGGTGGTGGGCCCATTGATGTGAGGTCCTAGGAACTATTGCTCTTAATACCATGTTAGAATCCTAGCGTGACTTAGGAGCCATGGCTAGTGAGTGTCGAGAGGATTGCGTGTCAAGAGAATTGGAAAGGAGAATGAGAGCTTTCACTATAGAAAGTTGGGATACAAATAGCAAACCCTAAATTGGGTTGTACTCACTACAGAGTACCCCACTGCAGGCTAAACAGCAAATACATTCTGACACAACACTACTGATATATTCACCAAGGCACTTCCGCCTGGTGATCATCAGCGCTTCTCTACTGTGTTAGGCCTTGTGCCTACCCTGCCTCACTTGCTGACTGCGTGACTTTGCTTGAACTGTCAGATGTATATGCCTTAGCCTATGTAGGCTGTAGTGGGGTAGACACTAAGGGGTACAGGTTTTATATTTGTATCTCACACTTTCCTAGTTGATTCATTCCTGTTTAATTCTTCACATGGTATAGAGCGGGTTCCCTCATGGGACCGTTCCTTCCTAAGGGCCCACCATAAGCAACTTTTTTTTAGCTGCCCGAAGCGCGTCTCGCGCCCTGCCCTATTTTTTTTTTTTTTTTTTCGCGGCCCCTACGCGGCCCCTAACGGCCCCTACGCGGCCCCTACGCGATCCCTACGCCGCCCCTAAACGGCCCCGTCGCGGCCCCGTACCTGACGCGGCCCCGTCCCTGACGCGGCCCCGCCCCTACCCGGCCCCTACACGGCCCCTACGCGGCCCCTACGCGGCCCCTACGCGGCCCCTACGCGGCCCCTACGCGGCCCCTACCCGGCCCCTACGCGGCCCCTACGCGGCCCCTACCCGGCCCCTACGCGCCCCCCTGCGCGCCCCCCTACGCGGCCCCTCAGCGGCCCCTACGCCGCCCCTACACGGCCTGACCCGGCCCCGTCCCTGACGCGGCCCCTACGCGGCCCCTACGCCGCCCCTACGCGGCTCCTACGCGCCCCCTAAACGGCCCGACCCGGCCCCGTACCTGATGCGGCCCCTACGCCGCCCCTAAAAGGCCCCATCCCGGCCCTACCCCGGCCCCGTCTCGGCCCCGTCCCGGACCTGCCCCGGCCTCGACTCCGTCCCGGACCTGCCTTGGCCCCGACCCCGTCCCGGACCTGCCCCGGCCCCGACCCTGTCCCGGCCCTACCTCGGCCCCGTCCCGGACCTGCCCCAGCCCCGACCCTGTCCCGGCCCCGTTGCTGCCCCGTCCCGGACCCTGCTCGGCCCCGACCCTGTCCCGGACCTGCCCCGGCCCTGACCCTGTCCCGGCCCCGTTGCTGCCCCGTCCCGGACCCTGCTCGGCCCCGACCCTGTCCCGGCCCTGTCACGGCCCCGACCCAGTCCCGGACCTGTCGGCTCCGCCCTTGGTAAGAGCCTAGCCGGGCCGAGCCGCGCGGCCGAGCCGCACTGCTTTGCCGAGTCGCCCTGCCGAGTCGCACTGTCCTGCCTCGCTCAGTTGCACTGCTGCTGCTGCTAGTCTGCTGCTGCTCCTATCATGGCTAGTCCTAGTCTTCTCACCTTTGATGCTGAGGGTCGAGCGGTTGACTTTGATGTCTGGCTAGATGATCTGCAGCATTTCCTTCAGTGCGATAGCAAGGATGGTCTCTCCCTGTTTGATCTTACGTCGGGCGCCTCTACTGCCCCTGCTGCTGATGCTGACAGTACCGTTCGCTCGCAGTGGCTCACGCGCGATGCTGCTGCCCGCCTTGCTGTGCGTAGTCACCTACCGTCTACTGAGCGCGCGCACTTTAGTCAGTACAAGAGTGCTAAGACTCTGTACGACGCAGTAGTTGCACGTTACTCTTCCCCTGCCACTGCTGCGCTTAGCCGCCTCATGCTACCGTACCTGTTCCCTGACCTCGCTGCTTTTGCCACAGTCACTGACCTCATTACGCACCTCCGCACTAGTGACACTCGCTACCGCGCTGCGCTTCCTGCTGAGTTCTGCGCCCAGAACCCCCCCCCCATGTACATCACCCTCTACTACCTAGTCACTCGACTCCCTGACACTCTCCGCTCGGTCAGGGACCACTTCCTCTCTCTTTGCCCTACCACCCTCACTGTCGACCTCCTCGAGGAGCGCCTCCTTGCAGCAGAGACTAGTATCACCGCTGTAGGCGCCTCTCGTGGTGACCCCCGTACCCCTTTCTTTGAGGGGTGCTCCCCCGTTCCTCTTTTGCCCTCTGTTGCCTCTGCTGCTGCTGTCGACCTTGTTGGCACCGAGTCAGTCAGCGCTGCGTCTGCTCCTAGTGAGAGGCGCCGCATCAGCAAGGGCAAGCGGGGCAAGGGAGCTGGAGGAGGTGGTGGGGGCGGCGGTAGTGGCGGTGGAGGCGGAGGAGGGGGTGGGGGTGGGGGCGGTGGTAGAGGTGGGGGCTTCGGTGGCGGCGGTGGAGGTGGAGGCGGCGGTGGCGGTGGCGGGAGGGGTGGAGGAGGCGGAGGCGGCGACGGCGGAGGTGGAGCTGGTAGAGGCGGAGCTGTGCAGCGGGGACCCCAGCAGCAGCAGCGCTCTCGTGAGACCCCTTCGCCCCAGCAGCTTCGTGAGTGGTACGCGGGGCGCCAAGGGTCTGGGGGTGCTGATCCCTGTACTTACGTCCTGCGCACCGGTGACCGCACTGGAGAGCAGTGTGGCGGCCTGCACGCCACCCAGCGCTGCTTCGGTCGCCTGACGGACGCCTGGCGTGCCCAGTTCCCGGACGCCACTGGGATCCCTCGTTGGGGAGATCTGCTCAGGTCGGGGGTAGCTATCTTTGATCTTGACTTTGATACTATTCTTGCTGCCATGTATGCTGTGTCTATTAGTGCTGAGGGTGACTGTTACGTGTGTGTTCCGCCTGACCCTGGTATTGAGGCTGCTGCTCTAGGTGCTAGTGAGTCCGCTGTTCCAGGTACTCGTGAGTCTGCTACTCTAGGTGCTGGTGAGTCTGCTCTCTCAGGTACCGAGTTGGCTCAGGTCTTTCACACCTTCACCCTCGACTCGGGTGCTTCCCGCTCCTTCTTTCGAGACCGCACCACCCTTACGCCGCTCAGTCGGCCGGTTGCGGTCTCCCTGGCAGACCCCTCTGGGGGTCCTGTCCTTGCTCGCTACTCCACTGTCCTCCCGTGTCCGGCGGCCCCGTCAGGCTCCCTGTCTGGTCTCTACCTCCCCTCGTTCTCAACGAACTTGGTGAGTGGTGCTGACCTTCAGGATGCCGGAGTTGACCAGTTCACTCCTGCAGGTCAGCGCGTGACCCACTGCACGTGTGCTCAGACGGGCCGCCACTTGGCCTCGTTTACCCGTCGACCGGGGTCGAGCCTGTACACACTGACCACAGAGTCTCCTCCGGTTGCTGAATCTGGTCAGGTAGCTGCGTCGAGTCAGGTGTTTGCTGCAGCGTCTCGGTCAGGTCCTGAGTCTGCCCCCTGCTCGTGTCGCCTCCTGTCCCACCAGACCCTCCTCTGGCACCACCGCCTTGGTCACCCCTCCTTGCCTCGTCTCCGAGGCATGGCCTCCCGTGTCCTTGTCTCTGGTCTCCCCCGGTCCCTCCCTCCCCTTCCCCCGGGGCCTGCCCCTACCTGCGTTCCCTGCGTCGAGGGGCGGCAGCGCGCCGCTCCTCACTCCTCCGAGTTTCCCCCGACAGAGGCTCCGCTGCAGACTCTTCACATGGACGTGTGGGGCCCAGCCCGCGTCCGTGGACAGGGTCACGAGCGTTACTTCCTGCTGGTGGTTGACGACTACTCGCGTTACACCACTGTCTTCCCCTTGCGCAGCAAGGGTGAGGTCACTGAGGTGTTGATCGACTGGATCCGCGTTGCTCGTCTCCAGCTCAGAGAGCGTTTCGGCTCGGACTTTCCTGTTCTGCGTCTGCACTCCGACAGAGGCGGAGAGTTTTTCTCCGACCTTCTGCGAGCCTTCTGTCGTGCGGAGGGCATCCGCCAGACGTTCACGCTTCCGGCCTCTCCACAGCAAAATGG